TTCCAAAAACAACAAGTTGCAGGTGTTAGTATAATATTTCTCAGGTGCTTCCCGGGAATCTGGACAGAACTCAAGTTCTCGAGAAACTCAATACTTGTAAAGAACCAGGGCTGTAGTTGGAACACAAAACAAATGACGTTTTGTTAGTTGATGAACGCTCTACTATATCCATACTTCTCATCGAGTGAATTCGTTTGAATTAACCGAGGTAATCTGCTGTAGTTACATCGCATATTTTATCTTTTCAAGACAAAAAGACGCTAACAAAGATCTTAACCTCAGGAATCGACGTTCACAACTGTAGCTCTCAAAGGGATAAATTTTAAAATTCATACTTTTTCGGTGGACTTTACAAATATGGTGTCACTATTTAGCCTGGTTGCCATATTCTTCTGCGCGATTCTCACAGCTCTACTATGGTCCTACGGCTTGCAGATTTTCACCAAGTGCATAAAGTTCATTTTGGTGATCATTTTTAAAATTATCAAACTTATTCTGTTTGGGAGAAAGAAGAACACTGAAGAAACCACATCAGAGGCCGACGAGAATAAAGAAAAGACGAATTGAAGAATGGCAATAACGCTTGTCTAACACTACTGACATTGCAATTGCAGAAATATTTATACCATTTAGTTATGGATAACTAAGATGGAAATTGACAGAGAATTGAAATCGGCGAAAATTACTATGTTTGCAAAGTTATTTCATCTTTTTTTTTCAAAGCTTGATTTATCATTTTGTTAATGGTTTTCAAAGGGACCTGGTAAGATATATCTATAGTTATGTTCGTTGCCTTCTTTGGTAATATAAGATTATGTATGGGCGTGGTCAAAATTTCCAGAAGAGGTTTTCTATTTGATCAATTTGATTTTCTCGTAACCTGTTCGCTTTAAACTGTGTGAACCTTGTAAGGAGAAACTGCCTTTGGATCAGCTTTGGGGAATCGAAAGATGATTATCGAAGTCTTGCTTAATCAACAAGTTGAACATGTAAGTAGCTTTTCTTCCAAAGTTGTACATGCACCAAAGGATTTTTTCTTTCCTTTTATTCTATCATGGCCATATTTTTGATTCATTGGGATACATCTCTGTATTTTCATTCAAATTGTTTAAATCTTCAGCAAGGTAAATCTTGGAAATAAAATTTTGATTAAAAAAAGTATTTTCATTTATATTGTTCTCTTGCACGGGTTTTGCTTTTCCTCTGTTCCTCGATTGCGATGAATTTCTGCAGGCCAACATTTAGTTCACCTCATTAGTTTTTTTTTTTTGGTCGACGATGCATCGTACAAAAAGGAAATACTACTTCCTTTTGAATTACGGTGGGGTTGTGGCTGGAGGGTGTACTTAACCCCTCCCCCTCCCCCTCCTCCCTCTTTGTTGAGAAAAACATGATTTGCAAGGATAATGGTGATGGAACACCCTAATACTGCCCTGAGGCTAGGGGACGCCCCCAATGGAAAATCGTTCATGTTTTTCAGTGTTTTTCAGTGACCATAATCCTCTGGTTAAATGCAAGACTTTTTGTTTTCTTGATAAATATTGTATTAAAAATAAAACAACGCGTCATGCCCCCAAATGCCAATGGCAAGTTATAGTTCGTATGCATGTACATCTAACTGTAACCCTAGTTCCTTATCACCAGTAAAACAGATCAACAGGAGGTACAGATTTTTAAGCTCGCTGATGAAAATGGTTCACTTCAGCAGAAAAAAAAATTCTAAATAAGAAACCATGCTATTTGGAAATGTAACATGTTTTTCAGTTAACAAAGAAAATAAATTTGCAAATGATACTAACTTAGGGACTTGTCAGAAATTAGCAGGGGGGGAGGGGGGTAGGAATTTTAAATTTGGGTTCGGAAATAAGGTGACCCATCCCTGCAATGGGAGTGAAATTTGCTAACCCTCGGTCCTTGATCACTTGGCCTAAAATATCAGATCTTGCTATAATACTTCACAGTTTATATCCATAACGTTCCGTAAACCGTTGTATTTTTCTCTTTTTTTTGCGAAATAAAGAACTTCCTTTTTCTTCTGTGGGTGAACCTCTACATGATCACGGGCATATATTTGCATGAAATTTAACAGCCCATTTTTTTTTTTCTGAGGCTTAAAAAAGAAAATCTGTTTCCAAATGCTAATTTCTGACAAGTCCCTTATGTAACTATTTCTCTTATTCACATCTTCACATCATCACTACGTTTTACTTTTTGACCGTTTTTTTTTTCGAAAGACTGCTGTTCATTTACTTTCATCATACTGTAAAATTTTTGGGAGGAAAGGTCATTCACTATCCGCTCTCACTTTTGACAATAAAACTAAATAACGAGTCGGGATATTTTCTACCATCACGGCTTTTTTTTCTGCCTTACGAGATAATTAAGGCTGTGCGTTTAGATGCAATTGAGCGACTTACATTGAATCGAATGTAGCGTTCTGATTGGCTGCCCTTTAAAGGCATTACATTTGACTTGTCTTTTTGTCAATCAACACACTTGCCTATGAAATGTTTTCCTAACCCACTATTTTTTGGGAGGGGCTTAACTTTCCTGAAGGTGGAAAGGAGCCGGCAAAAGTCTAGATATGCTCGCACACACACAATATAACAATAAATAATTAAATTAAACATGACAAAAAAAAAATACAAAAAAAAAAACAGCAAAAAGATAAAGAATACTTTATTTTGCCCATGCAACATTATTGGCGAAAAATGCCAAACTTTTGACATTTTAAATTAAAATATTTAGCAGCGTGTTTTATTTGCATAAGTATTGTTATCAAACATTTCATAAAAGATCGAAAACATTTAGTGGTCAGTGTTGCAACGGTGCAAATTTATACTAACAGAAAAAAATCAATGAGCTTTTTTCCTATCTTTTAAGCCTGTTTTTTAATTCGTAAAATCGTAATAACAAAATTTAAATGAAATTAATTCAACTGTTAAGTCTTTTGAATTCACAACAGTTTCGGTTTTTTGGAATGATATTGGACTATGTCCAAATTCTTTTTGAGCCTTAAGTTGTTGGCCTTGGAAACATTAATTCATGGTATTGTTCACCGTCGTGTATAATTAATGCGCGTCAAAACAAAATAAAATGCATCACCGGTGGTCTTTTGTTCGAAACCTGCAAATTTGTAGCAGATCGTGACCAGGGCGAGTGTTTTTCTCGAAACATGTTATGTTCATTTGCACGTTCAGCAAACCTTAACTCGCCATAGACCGTGTCCGACGCCTCGAGTTTCTTTCAGAGTTTTTCGCTGTGAACTGTCAACACCTACATTACGGTCGGCGATGGCTGGACCTCCGATGATCGAAGGATCTTTGAAGAACACAATTCACGCACTCGCATTTGGTCTTATTTGCGCCACATTAGCTGTAAACTTTGGAAAATATTTCGTCCCTCATTTTTTCCCGTACATGGTGGGGATCATTATCTTGATCGAGGCAGTTTTGTTCGCGCTGGATAGACCGAAAGACAACTATGAGAAATTCCAAGTTCATGGAATAAGAGGAACCCACACAATTGAAGGATCTCCTCAGATAACAGTGTCCGGGCCAAGTGAAGATCCTCAAGCTACACCCACTAGGAAGGGGAAGATGAAAGACAAGCTGAAGAAGGGAAGGCGAGAGAGTGGTGTTCCTGGTTCGCCAAGGCAAAGCCTTGTTCCTCCTCCGAGTCTTGGACAAGAAGCAATGGAAGGAAAAGAGACGGGGAAGGATAAAGTCAAAGAAAAGTCTGACAAGGAGAAGAAGAAGGAAGAAGAAAAAGAAAAGAAGAAAGAGAAGGAAGAGGAAAAGGAAAGAATCAAAGCTGAAAAGAAAGAGGAGAAGGAGAAAGGTACAGATGGCGATGAAGAAAAAGGAAGCTCTTGGAGAAAAAGGCGTGCAAAGACTAATAAACAGAACACGGTGTAATTACCCATGCAAGAACGATCATGAAATGACAAAGTAGCTTCCATTAGCTTGTCAACAGGTGCACTGAGCTTAATAACGGACATTTCACATAGCCTTGCACTGAGTACTTCCCTAATAACAGGATAGCAATGTAGCAACGAGCAGATCGAGTACCATTGTCAAAAAAAGTCTTAGTACGATTTTTATGGCCGTGCTGAAATGGGGTGTTACTTCTAAACCAGCGAACAAATCAGTTGGACTAAAATCTTTGCAAACTTAAATTGCCATAAATTGTTAGTTTTACTTTGTCGTATCGAGCAATATTTTGTTTTTCCTATTTATCAGCCATTTTATACAGTTCTGCCTGCTTACCTTGACATCTATGTAACCTTGGTAACCTTGACAGTCATAGCTGGCTTGTTTACCTTGCTACTGTCGCAAAATTAATGACGCAACGGAGTTGGTATTCTGAGTAAAAGAATGTGTGACCGTTAATTGAAGAAGGAAAAGAACTCCTAAATTTATTTATCTAATGAGCATCGGAAGGGAAAATATTTCATTCTTTTAGCTCAAGGTTCTTTTAACTAGTCTGGTTTAATGGGAGTATTTGCTATAGTGAATGAGTCTTGTTACTCGAGCAACAAGTCCAGTGAAGCTTGTAATCAATATTGGAAATCAAGGGCAAATAAAGAAACAGAAAACATTTACAGGGGTAAAGGTTTCGTTATTCAACTTACTCTTGCGACTCTGTCAGTAACATGTCATTAAGTGCTGGGATTTCATTTCGTCCTGTGTCTGCGTAATTGTAGACGATAGATAACCTCAACACCAAGTAACTCTGTCAAAACAGATGAGAGCTGAAGGCGAGTGTACCTTTGATGAACTGAATTCTACGTGGGCTGTTAAGGCACGTTTCCCTTGATCTATCAGATTCAGGATTTCACAGAAAGCATCAAAATACGAAAAACCGGAAAGGCCAAAATTATTGTAGATATTGACTCAATTCTCGAATTTTAAGTAGGTTTATATTAATTCACGCCCAGTTTAGGCAAAATGACTTCCTTTTGCTGAAAGGACTGGGAACGAATAAGAGAAAACATCATGGCGGGTAATCAGTGCTCAGCATCGCTTCTAGCATCGGAACCTTCACTCATCGATAGGCCTCGTGAAGTACGAGTACCCTCGTTTGGTCATGATTTCTTTAGCGAAAATTGTTACAGTGGCTCCATAACACGGAAATGGCAAATTTCTATTCATCTCCAATTCGCAATACATGTCGCTGCCAGAGAACAGTATTGTGTAAACAGTATGTCAAAGGTAAGACACACACCAAAAATCTTTTTCTATGAATTGGTTTTTTTTTAATTATTATTTTAACTTCATTCTCTTTCGTTTTTTAAGCTCAATAAGCCTATTATGTTTTGTAATAAACCAGTCCAATTTACTTAAGGTGCCTAATGTTGCATTGGAAATTCAAATATTTGCTTGCGTGCAAAGCACTTAAAGATCAGTTGTGTTGAACGAAAAGGTTGAAATTTGGTTGGGCAAAACTGCATAGGAAAATTAAACTTTTTGCTGCAATGTGCACTCTAAAATGGAGTGGTTCTCGAATAAGCACTTGTCTCATTTCACGTTGTGAAAATTTTATAATATTTCGGCCATAAAAAAAACTTTTTCTCATAAATTAATTGTGTACCAAATCCTAAGATGAAATGATAAATCTCTGTCCGGATTTATACAAATAATAATGGTAACAGGACTGAGTGGAATCCAGTTCGGTCTGTAATTATACGAGTGATCAACAAAATCGGATGACAACCAATTAATCAAAACTCTAACAAAATTTGAGAAAGAAACTAGACACCGCTTATATGTTTTCTTAAAAAAAAACATCAGTTAACTCAGTAAAATCCGAGACAGTAGCACTCGCACATGATATGTTCTGTCAACTTACACAGGCATGACATGTGAACTGCCCCTTTAATTTAACTGTCCAATTACACTGTCCAATTACACTGTCCAATTACAAGCATGACGCATACACTTTCCTATTAGTGCTCAATTTGAGCTGGTGATAACCAATCACGTTTGAGACTTTTGTTATAGTTTTGATTAAGCAATTTAGGGGGGGAAATGACTACTTCCTTATCTTCTTGAATTCTGTAAATTTCCCTAAAGTTACCCACCTTCCTCTGAATTTTTTTTCTAGGAACTAGAAATAAATGAGAGGGTATGGGAAAATGATTTTGCCAACATAAATGTATCTTTTAAATTAAACCACTTGAAAACTGTCCCAATCAAGAGTGGACCATGTTGATCAAAGCTTAATATTTTTTGATGGTATGCAGATGAATTATTTTTCAAAGCTGAATGTTGAAGGCTGCAGCTAATAAGCAAGACACTGGCAAATCACAATATTTTGTGTGGCCTAAATTTGTTGAATTATTGCTATCATTGTCTGGCATTTGATGGTGAGATTGTTTTTTGTTACAGTTAATTATGTTTGGATACTGCACAGGCCCTACTGCCTTGCAGGGGTCATGAAGGAAATCAATTGGAAATAAGCTACCCTTAAATTCCTCAACTGGATCTTGCGTGATTTAAATAATGTGGTTTAAATTTATTATTTGTTGGTTCAAAACATATTTTATTAACCCATGTATTCAATGTTATTTTTTCTTTGTCCACTACTCACTATTATGGTTTGAAACATACCAAAATAAAAATCAATCTGGTCTGATAAGGATATGCCGTATTAACCCTGTTAACTTCCAAGATCTGATTATTAATTCTCCTCTCTTCCTGTTACAAATGTTTTTGTGAATTAGTTATGAGAACTTAATATTAGCTTAAGATAACAACCTCTGCCTGTTAAGTTTGAGAATTCCCATGACCTGTTTGCTGGATAATGATGGCTGTTATAGGGAGAAGTTACATGTTAATCACTTCAGGTTCAAAAAGTAAAGCAAATTCAAACAGATGATTTGGCTGATATATTCAAACACCTTGAAATGTTTCTAAATAGGTGACTACTGCACAAAGATTAATGATGTCTGTTAAGGATACTGGTTGAAGCCCAATTTTGATCAGTTTTTATTTGTCTCTTTTTCTTAGTTACGAACTTAGTAACAAGGTTTTCTTATTTTCTATTGTTTTTTTAACCCAATTTTTCAGGGTCACCATGCTCATTTAAAAGCTAACTCTTTTAAGTAGTTTTCCCTTTGATTTCATGTGATCTTGTCAACCATGTACTTTGGACATTTTTTGGTTTCTTAACCTTTGGCCCATCAGGACTGATATTTTATGATTGTTTGGATTGTTGATAGATTTTTATTGTTTTGAATCTCTTTGTTCATTTAATCAATTGCCGCTAGCTGTCAACTTTGGTTTTCTGTGGTTTACCAATTGTCACAACCTGTAAAATAGTCCCACTCATTACTTGTGACGTAAGCCTAGTATCCATTTTGTTTTTTGTTTTGGAACTTGGCAGTTATTACAAGCCCAGAAATATAAGTCTTCTTGATTAGGCAGCAGCTCTCATGGCATTTATCTGGGAAGAACTTTAATTTATAAAACCAAAATAATGTAAAGATGGCCTGAGGAGTGCTTGACTCATGATACAATGTTATTTACTGATTGGGAACCGGTATTGGGAAAACTTGTGACCAAAGTCAGTATTGCCAAGGGTTGATCATGGACAGAGCTGACAATAACTTGAATTTTTCTGGAAATATGTCTTAATTTTTTTTCCTCAGGGAAAGCTGGATTATGTATATTCATGATACATTTTTGTGCAAAACTGCAACATTGACTCAAATTTTGAGCCATCCACAAACCATTCATAACTCTGCACAAGTCATCCAGGGACATCACTCTAAACTGATAATCATAGATTAAGCAAAACATTTGTTTTGAACTACTTAAAATCAGCTGAATTAATTGATTCATCAATTTAGTTCTTGGAAATTTTGTTTCTTGAGAAAAATGTTCCTGTAACCCTTTACATCCTAACATCAATTTGCACATCCTCAATACTGATCTCATTACATTTCCTAAGGTGCTGACAAGGAGAATTTGTTTAACAATCAAGACCTTCTTTAGTTAGGTGATCATTTACTAAATATCTTGTGACCTTAATGACCCCTTAATGTGTGATTCAGGGGTGATATTTTAAGGAGAAATTAGATACAAGTCACTTAAGAGGGTCAAACAGTTGAACTGATGAATTCTGTGAATGCAACTGTGTCATTGTTTATGAATAACATTCCACTTGCCTTTCAAAAGGGTTCATAATCTTGAAAATCTTTAGAATGCTGGAGGAATAAAACATGAAGACATGTATCTATTTTCATCAAAATAAAAATGTTACTTACATACACTTTTTCAACTTCTTCTATATTACAGTTTGCCCTCTCTAAAATTTTTAAAGAGGTTTGAGTTTTATGAGCAAAAATGTTTTCTGAAAGTGGTTTTGAATCAATTGTTGTCTAAAGCACACAAGAAACAAGAGTTGGGTCAAACAGGCAATCACTTTGAAAGAACAAATGTGTGGCTGACATTTTGTTAAGTTATGTTTCACTAATAATTTAGTAATGGCAGGACAAATATGTTGATACTGCATCATTTTTCATATCAGTAACCTTTAATTTTAGGCACCTAAAGGTACTGGACAACTCTGGCAGTGGTAATAGTTTCTTCATAGCAAATTTACCACCCAGATGGTATCAGGAGCTCATTCCATCATTTTTTGCAGTGAGCCCCTTGATATTAATGACATGATATTTTGATTGACAACCCAGTCTTCTTTTTGAGGTGAGCCCCTTGATGTCAATGACATGATATTTTGATTGACAACCTAATCTTCTTTTTCTTCCAGACTAGCAAAGTTAACAAAAGACTTGTCTTTGCAAGAAGAGGAGCATTTTGGAGAACTTTTCCAGCAGTTTAATAAAGAATAATAGGTACATTACAGTTACCAATTTCCGTGCGCCTTACTTGAGGTAACTTTTTACCGCTTATACCTAACCCCAGTTACGCCCAGCAGTACATGTTCACCCATTAGAAAATTAATGTCAGAAGAATGGGTCCGCAATGCAAACTAGTCTTTGAAGGAACAAAGTAGCAAACATCAACAAAATCAACAACAACAACAAAAACAACAACAATGAGTGGAATGAATTAAATAAAAAAAACCGTTTGATGGGTAGTCTCAGTTCAGTGTGAATCATGACGAAAAACACTCTTAGACATTTATAGAAAGCTGTGCTTCTATTTTTGGAATAGTGTCCTAGAATTTTTGAGCAATTCGGATCGGGATACTAGGAGCAGTCCCCTTTTCAGTACACCGTCGCGCGAATTAAGCAAATCTGCTCATTGTTCTGCGCCGCGCGGAGCTCTGGGAGTGAGGCGCAAGAAAACCGAGGGAAACCAGAGTTCCGCACGACGCGCTAACTATTAATCGAAAAAGCAACGACAACATCTCCCGATGCAAATTTACGTCAACCTCGTTGCTAAGGGTTTGTTCGCGAGGCTGATTTGCACGTGAAAATCTTTCATCTAATTTCCATTTTTCAGTTCCTCGTGGTGAAAATTGTTCCACTTCGCAGGAAAGAAAGAACAAGAAAAGCTCGCCAGTTAAACAAATTTTCCATCCAAGTGCGACCGAAAGCATTTAGGAATCTTTGCTGCTTTTACGTGGAGGCCTGGCAAGGACCTACAATTCTTCTCTTCTAAAACGGAAAACTAGGTAAGATAACAGTGAATTCAACTGCTCAGTTTATTTAGTACAGCGCGCTTCACGACGTAGGCTGAGAGAATTCTGAAATGATTGTGTGAATATTTTAAACTTATTTTCGCGAGAGGCGGTTCCACATCTATACCTTCATTAAACGAAAAGTTATTCGAGAACATTTTGAAGGAAAAATTTATCGATAAATAGCAACAGTTAATCTAAACCGAAAACTGTGGCTGACGGTAAACTCAAACCGATGTTCTAAAAAAACTTATTCTCGCTGAACTGACGTTGAAGACATCTTGCATAGATGATGTTTGCAGGCAGAAAACGTATTAAATGCTTTTTTTATGAGCGTTCTTCTAGTTTAACTTTCATTAATCTGATTGAAATTTGTCAACCCTTCAGACCCTAAGAGTGACCAGCATGTAATTTCTCCTTACAATAATACTTATGAAACATTCACTAAGATCGTGAGAATAAAGGAAATGATCACCAACCTATGAAGCTTTGATTATTAGAGGAATTCTCCTTGTCAGCACTTAAAGGAATGTATTGGGAAAACTATGGAGAATATGAATAATGATGTAAGGCCCACGGTGTGAAGGGTTAAGACAGTTCAAAGCAGTCTCGTAAATCTCTCGAAATTCCTAACGGTGTTGTATCTTTCCCTCGCAGATGAAGCAATATGGATGAGGCGTCGTAAATCAAGCATGGTAGTGTACGGAAATAAAAGGGAAAAAAGGAAAGAATTACGTAAAGGTAAGCTCGTAAATCAAATTGTTTGAAAAAAATTTATAATCTGTACATCTGATTGTAATTTTAAGAGCAATGTATCGATGTATGAACATAACCATGTTGACCAGTCAGGCCAGAAATTTCGAGATAAGTACCGCGTTTTCCAGCGTAGCCAGTTAAAAGATTTCAAAGCAGTCTCGTGTGTCAAGAGCCGAGTAGAAAAATATTTCAGCAGCCTTTTTAACAATAACGAGCTCCTAAAGAATTAGAAAGAAGACCAACATTTTAATCGCTGAAAATCAATTTTACAAAGACATTTCAAAGATCCTTCAAAATAGCCGTCAGGCCTTCTGTCCCTTGTAAAGGAGCATATTTCGGCTGTGAGATGGGAATGTTTAATCATCTGTACTTAGTTGTCATTCAGACTTAGATTATGACTTCAAAAAAATTTTTACGAACAGCGATATGCAAATAATACAACACGTCACCTGTATTAGACGACTCTCAGATGCGGAGTTTTGTCGCTAAGAAAGAATGATTGGAATGTATACAAACTTTTCCTGCGAGGCAAGATTTCCATATAACCCCATACTTCATTATGCACGCGGTTCGTTCATGAAAGAAAACAATTCGTTGCTCTTGGGACTAAGGCCTTGTTTTAGGATAGCACGGGGTTATACGAAAATATATATCTTGCTTTTTAACTGAAACTTTCTAAATAAATCTCGTTTTATTTTACCAATAAAAGAAACTATTTGCATTTTTGGTTTTTTTTTTGCAAAATAATCATCGAAAGTGTTAGAATTGCTTAAAAATGTGCAGGACATGCTGTAGGTGATTGATTTCTTCTTAAATTCTCTTAAACTCAAGTGTTTGGAAGTCATTTGATCCAGGTGTCACATGCTTAAGTCGATACGGCTCCGCAAAAAAAAACATTTTTTCCAAATTTCCGTAATGTGCCTACCCAGCTAATATGAACTTTGCAGTTCTAGATGTTAATCATAACAATTGTCAACAACAAGAAAAGGTCAAAAATAATAGCCCAGAGCCAGTGAAAATTTTTTGTTTCACTTAAAAATGTTTTTAGCTCGAATGCTGGAAAGATTTCCATACAGAACCCTATACTTTATTATGCATATAGTTCTGTGAGAGAACAAGACGATGGCGCAAACAAGAGATTTCTTTCGTGTCTGATGCTTTGTTTTAGATTAATATGGGGTTGTATGGAAATCTTTCTCGACTGTATTACGTTAGGACTAAAAATAACTAATTTTCCGTGCCAGTGAAGAGACATTGCTTTAATATTTGTTGAATGTGAAAAGGTTCTCGAAAACGTAATTTAGCTGCCGGATTTATGTCAATGGCCTAAAACGGAGCTCTAAAACTAGATTTGAATCCATATGAATCAATTTTTGTCGGACAATACAGTGATTTTTAGTCACAGCCGGAAGTTTGATGAATTCTGATCACTTCCATAAAAAAGAGGAACCAAGGGGCTGCTGATTAAAAAATTCACCTGTGTGAATGTTCACTTGTGGTGATCGTGAACTCTAGACGATAAATTCAGAGAGCAAGAGGAGAAGCAAAATACTTGTATTTACCACGCTTTATCACTGTCATCACTTTTATTTGCTTAAACAAAGTTTATTTTCTTCCAATTTTAAAACGTCTGTTTGTGTTATATTTGCAGTCTTCTGATATCCTCGTGACACGCCTTGTAGATATGGGCCACAAGCTTGGAGGGCAAAGACAGGATCAAAGTGAGGGAAACGAAACTTAGTTATGGGAGAAAGACAGTTGAAAATCAATGTTAAAGGTAACAACTGTAAGCTAAACTTACCAACTACGTTTTCCGCAGAACGAATTTGGTCACGAATTGCTGAAAAATTACGGAAAATTTCTTTGAGAACACATCACAGAGCTCTGAAAGATAAGTTTTAATTGTCAGGTGATGAGCAAAATTTATGTCTCATTTCAAGTTAAGACTATTTGTGAAGGAGCTCGAGGTAATTTGGCAAAATGAACACAATCAAGTGATATCGGCAAATGTTGAAAATCTAAAAAAGTTAAGTTGTCAGGAGGGACGCTTCCAGTGACTGCTAAAAAATTCGTATTGCATCACAAGTGTAGTGAAAACGTCTGGGGACTTAAAATGCTAAGTTTCATTAAATATTTGGAAGTAATTTGGCATGACGAAATACAAAATAAAAAAAAAATACGGAAGATGTAAACAATGATTGCTTGAAAAGCTTTTCTTTGGAAAACGCTACAACGTCAATTCCATGAAATATTTTGATCACATTGATTATTACGCCAATGGCAGGTATTTTCTTTTCAATACTCGAACAAGTTGGAATTATTTTGGGTTATTTTCCGTGCAGTCACTGGAAATGCGTTCTTTTAACAGAAATCTCATGTCGCAAGTTTTAAATTTCGAATATTCATTTTGAAACTATCCACTTCAAAATTCGATTATTCATCAATTCTCAATGCTATCGTCACACTTTGGTCAATTCTCGTACAGTCCAATTTTATTTTGCTCGAGTTTTTCGGTCGGAATGTTCCGACATGATTGTTTAAATATGCCATGACGACTTAGTAATTATACTTAAGTTATTTTTGCCATTTGATGTTGTAAATCTTTTCAACTTGTTTAGTTATATTCTCGAGTTAGACTTAGCGCTTTATGTTAAGATCTTGTGTGAAAATTTTTAATTTTTAGTTGAGAATTGTATTACGTGAATAAAAGAACAAACAAATAAAATTTCATTTCCACTTTATCGTCTTCTCTTTCTTCTATTGCGTGTACAAGTAAAAAAAAGAGTTGCGCTTTTAAAAGGGCCTGGTAACTAGTCAACTAGTAACTAGTTTTTGCGTATGGAGGGTTGCCGAGAGGAAAAAAAGTTCTGCGGATTTGAACAGCATCTAGCATTCTAACAAAAAATATACTCGAATTTTGATGGGAGGAAATCTCTTGCATGGAGCAAGATTTTTCCCGCCAAAAGACTTAGTATATTTTTCGATCAAAACTAGACACAATTCAAAGGCACAGACTTTTTTTTCCATGGACAATTTTCCCGCCAAAAGACTTAGAATTTTTTGCGAACATTTTTAGTTTCTCAATTATTCTACTGAAAGGAAGATTATCCCGCCAAAAGACTTAGTTTTTTAACTTTTTGTTTTAAATACTGTTGGCCCTTTTAAAAGCGCAAACTTGCAATACAGAATTTCCTCGCAAACACCGCTCGAATATTCGCTTTCTTTCCCAATCAGGTGAAACGTGACTTAAAATAATCTTTATTTCAGTCAACAGAATTCTTGAACCCTCTAGTATCTTTTCTTGAATCTTCTTTCTTCATACAATCTTGAAATCTTTCAAATCTAAAGAAATAAGAAATGATTTAGTAACTACTTTCGGATATACTTTTAATCAAGCTACTCATTATACCGTCTATTGATGAGATTTCCTCCGGCAGTGAGAGCCATAACCATTGTGCTAGATTGATTTTCAAGTGTCATGTTACGACACCAGACGACTAAAATTCAGTTTAGAAATCTTGGACACGTGAAGGGGTAAATTAAAAAGATGTCAATATTAACAATTTCAAGGGTATTCAAAGAACGCAAATATCACTTGCAGTTGAAGAAGCAATTCTCATTCTTCAAATAATTATGAAGCATTTCATCTATTTGAATTGAGCAATAGGTTAATTTTTTTGAGCGGTAAAATCAGTGAGACCAAAACTAAATGACTCTGTTTGCCGTATACAAACATGTATACAAACATTTATACGACATAAATTGAGGCAGTTAAATAACCTTTGACGATGACGAAACACTCCTCGTTATTTTTGTTCTCAAGTAAACAAAAGTGGATCAATGTCTGAGCAACAGCGCAACTACCCCTCCTTTAATCCAACAACAGTCAATTGAAAACAAGTTAGGGCATGTGTTAGGTTAGGGGAGGGTAGGTGCGCAGTTGCCTAGACACTGATTTTGATCCACAAAAGTATACCAGGGAGGGGTAGGTTAAAGTCACCCCTTGTCACTTTGCCATGGAAACTTCTCTTGGTGTCTTCCTCGTACGACTTTGTACATTGATAGTTGTTTTACAGGTTTTCATAAGTTTCCCTTAAAGACATTACCCGTCTTGTAATGCAATAGAGTGTCAAAGAAGAAAATGCCTACAATTGTTGTTCAAAACACAATTGAGCAAATCCTTTATGTCTTTTCTCAATTCAGACGTAATCTTCCTGACGAATTCTTGTTCACTAAATTTTAATCTTCTTTTGTTTTTCCTTCCCTCTGTTCAATCTTCGGATTTGGAAATAATTCTTTTAAAATTGTATAGGAAAATTCATTACTTGACGAAGGAATTTCGCGTTAAATTGTACGCGAAAACCGATATCGCACGAATTACGAAGCTTCACATGCTTCACTAATCATTTGCTCGAGGAGGAAAATAATTTACACCTTTTACTTCTTTCGTGGCAAAACTGAAAGAAATGAAGTGTCCAAGCGAAAGCACTGAACGTTTAACATCGCGATTAAAGGTATTTACTTCTTCTGTTTATATGAAAATCGACCCTGGCACTTCTTCCGTCGTCGCTTCTTCGACTTGTTTGGTTGAGCTTTTGCTTACCATTTTCAGGGCCGCGTTCACAGGATTTTCTCGCTTTCTCGTTGCCACGAGCGAAAGAGGTTTTTCAGTATGCCTCTCCAAGAATTTGCAGTTCATTTCATAACAGGGAAGAACCTCTGGCTCACGTTGAAAAACGCTTTTATTTGTTTTTGGCTCTTCAAAAGGTGATAATGGTTTTGAAAATACTTTAAAATGACATCGTAGAAAACTTTGTTACAATTTGAAAGTAGTTGTTATGATTATGTAGATGCGAAACAATATCACTTAGCCTCTTTTCAACTCGCAATTCCACGCTAAATGCTTCGCTTCGTTTACCAATCAGAATGCGAGATTTTATTCAATTATGCGATTTAGAGTAAAACACCACAGTGCGACAAAGATTAAGAAAGATAAGCTCTAACCGTCTCTAGAAAAACCTGGACAAGGAAATAAATAATAAACTGACCTTTGTTTACTTCGTCTTCTTCCTGATCCATCGTTATCCTTCTTGTTTTATGATTACCTTAAAAGTGATATAGAAACAATTTCAATGGCGATGAACAACCGGTTAAAATCAGGGCAGAGAAGTTTTAGCGTTTCGCCACACAGCAGTAAAGTTTATTGCTGTAGCGGGCTGGCTCTGAGAAAGAATCGGAAATTTTGGGTTTTTTTTGGGAGAGGGGAGAGGGGCATGATTCAAATTAAGTTCTCAAAACAAAAGTCATTCCTTATATCTTTTTGTTTTGCTTTAAAGAAACATTAGAGTTGTATTAGGATAGCCAGAGAAAGACAGAGTGGCTCACCCTGTACTGGCTGAGCCACAGTACTAGGAATTTTGGGTGACATTTTAACAGTGGGTTGAATGGTGCGTTATTGTTTTTACCCCGTAGTTTTTGAGACGATAACTAAACTCAAAAGTATTCATAGGCACTCCCCCAAAAATATTGCCCACTTTTCCTCACAAGTCTTGATGCGTTCAAAAATTTCAAATTTAAAAATATAATAAAAAAGAGTTAAAAATTCCTGTCGAATGAAATATTTTATGTAAAAATTAAAATGCCCCCGGCATACCCCACTCCCCAAGAATACCTAATTACAATTGATCAATTCTAAAAACAAGTGGCTGGTGTACTAGTTAAAATTAATCGATTTAAAACTTTATGGGCCGATCATTTACATGAGTTCTAACGAAAACCGCGGTTTTATGCGAGCAGTGCGCATCAGGAATGCTCTATAAGAGAAGTGATGTCGTTCCACAATTATCTTCCGGCCTTCCTGACATTGATCTTACAAATAACTATTCAGATAATAGGTTCGGCCAAATTGAAGATGGCGGTTTTGTTAAACAGCGACTAACCTTTGACTTAATGACCAGCCCTATATTTCTTAAAATGTGATTTAAAAGTAGGTAGTAGAGGTGCGTTCCTAACAGATGCTGGAAGGCTCGATGCAGCGATGGGAAAAGCCCGATCCCCATATCATGATAATATTTGTTTGTTTCTCTCTCCGTTCAGTTGTTTACTTATATCAAAGAATTTCCGAGGTCTACTCAAATAATCTTTAAGCAATAGCAGTAAACTAATTATAAAAATATGTTTTCCCAGAATTACGATGATGCATACAAGTAATTTAATTATGAAACCTCTGGAGTTACTAAGTATCGCTATTTCGATATTGTTTGTAACGGATAGAGAGAATAGCTGACGCCAGTTAAAGCACGCAATCTTGTAGGTAAATTGTATATTATGAACAGCAAAGAAAGAAGCTGAATCACTAACATGAGTTCAACGAAGACTAAGCTTAAGTCTTCCCATGGTTTAAAACTGTACGTTGACCTGTCATCGCTAGCTGCAACCTGTGTGCGAAGACCGTTACTCACCAAAAGTCGACATTCAAGATACCAAAATGTTTTAACTTCTACCGTCAGATGTTCTAACCGTCTAAGACATGTAAGATGAGAGGTTTCCGTCCAAAAGCTGCAGTTTAAGGCTTTAAACCAGACAGGAAAGCATAATTCTGACTCCACGTGTAAAGATCCTGACACAAGTACGATGAATACTTAATGATCACAAGTAGATTTGCAATTCAATTCGAGCTATCCGCGTGCCTCACAATCAGTGGGTAAAATGACACCGTGAGGAGTGGGGCAGAATGTTTGATTTCTGGTAGTAACATTTTTATATCAGACGTCTAAGATTTATGTGCGGCAAGATATTTCTAAGTACGAATAAATGTCTTTCTAAAGGTTGCCCTTTTTCTCACGTAAAATAGCAAATCTAAAGATTTGAAGGCGACTTAGCCAAAATGATATAAGAGAAAACATAAAATAGTAACAATAATAATAATAATGATAAAAATAATGATGACGATGATAGTGATGATGATGATAACAGTCATGAACCGGCAAACATTCACACGATGAGAGTGATGGAAATGATCGACAACAACTTCTCCTTGTCGGCATATGTAAACAATCCTTTAATACATTTTTAAACGCCAATAAATCGAGGAACACTGTACAGCAAATTAATGAACGTTTACTTTCATCACGACCAAAGATACAAAAAAATCACAGATGTAAAATAATTTTCCGTTCATCTGTACAACAACAAGTTAACTCACCAATGGATAATTTTTTTCGATCTTCCTTGACCTTGTGCAAACTTGAATCGTCACGGCATCTTAAAAATAATCTC